ATGAGAAAGCCGGGGTTAGGGCAGCTGAGGGAGGCGCCAGGCAACAGGAAGCCGGTGGTTGGTTAGGCAATCTTGACCGGGGATTGGGGGGTGGGGGGCCTGGCTTCTCATCGTCCAGACACTGTGATGGGTGAGTTTTAGCTCTTCCGTTCTATCTGCGAGCCCTAACAGTTGGTTTCCTGAGAAAGGAACTCAAATAGGACAAATGTCACTTTCTCAAATTTTAAGACTAGGAGGATCAATTTCAGTGTTTATTCAAATAAACCATAAAGATCCCAGCTACTCAGGAGGCTGAGGCAGGAGGATTGCTTGAAGCTAGGAATTCAAGACCAGCCTGGGCAACACAGTGAGGCCCCATCTCTAATAAAAGGAGACAGGGGGCTGGGTGTGGTGGCTCACGCCTGTCATCCCAGCACTTCAGGAGGGCGAGGCAGGTGGATCACTTGAAGTCAGGAGTTCGAGGTCAGCCTGGCCAACATGGCAAAACTCCATCTCTACTAAAAATACAAAAATTAGCTGGGTGTGGTGGCTCACACCTGTAGTCCCAGCTACTCAAGAGGCTGAGAGGGAGAATCACCTGAACCTGGGAGGCAGAGGTTGTAGTGAGGTGAGATTGTGCGACTGAATTCCAGTCTGGGCCACAGAGTAAGAGTCTGTCTCTAAAAAATAAATAAATAAATAAATAAATAAATAAATAAATAAATAAAAGTAAAATAAAAGGAGACGGGAGAAGCTGGTTCTAAAATTTCCATGGAGCTGGGCACAGTGGCTCATGCCTGTAATCCCAGCACTTTGGGAGGCTGAGGTGGGTGGGCGGATAACCTGAGGTCAGGAGTTCAAGACCAGCCTAATATGGCAAAACCGTCTCTACTAAAAATACAAAAATTAAGCAGGTGTGGTGGCGTGTGCCTGTAGTCCCAGTTACTTGGGAGGCTGAGGCAGAACTGCTTGATTCTGGAAGGCAGAGGTTGCAGTGAGCCGAGATCGCACCACTGCACTCCAGCCTGGGCAATAGAGTGAGAATACATCTCAAAAGATAAATAAAAATGAAATAAAATTTCCATGGTCAAGCAAAGGACACAGAACAGCCCCATGGAGGAATGGACTGAAGGCACAGTCCCTCTTCCCAGAGGTCAAGCGGTGCTCGAAGGCTCTGGGGAGGAGGCCTGAGCGGCGGAGGGTGCTCAGCTAATGAAGAGAGACCCCAAACAGAGCCCTGGGCTGCAGCCGGCCTGGGTGGGGGCGGGGGGAGGCTGTGCAGACACTGCACAGGGGGCCACGTGACACGTGGCGCTGGGACAGCTGGTTTCACACACGGGAAAAGGTGAGCCGGACCCTTTCCTCACGTCCTGCACACACACACCACCTCCAGGAGGATCGAAGCTGTGATCAGCAAAACCAGAACGCCTTCAGGAAGCACGAGGGAGAGCATCTTGATGATCTCATAGCAGATTACTGAGACGTAGCCCCAGAGGAGCAAGGAGAACCTTCACCATTTACCGGCTGCAGGACCAGGTTCGGGACACAAGGGCGTCTGCAGGTCGGCAGGAGCAAGGCAGGCATCCAGTGGACAGAAGCCGTGGAGCCTGGCTTTGCCGGAGGCACTGCGAGACATCCCCCCCGCCCCGCGTCTTTGGGAACCTGGGAAATGCATACTAAAGTCAAAACGAGACACCGTTTTGCCCTCAGCAGCTTCCCTGAAATCCCAAGGTTGCACAACACCAGATGCTGATGGAGATGTGGGGGCAGCCAAAGCTGTCACGCTCACGGCGCAGCTGCAGCCATCATTCAAAAAATAACTTGGCACTTGCTAGAGAAGCTGAACACACACTCGAATTACAACCAGCAACTCTGTTGTGAGACAGAGAAGTGCTCACAAGACTGCACGTGTGTGGCCGGGCGCCGGGGCTCATGCCTGGAATCCCAGCACTTTGGGAGGCCGAGGCATCACCTGAGGTCGGGAGTTTGACACCAGCCTGGCCAACACGGTGAAACCTTGTCTCTACTAAAAATACAAAATAAGTCAGGCGTGGTTGCCGGCTGTGCTGAGGCTCTGAGGACCCTCCCAGGGGTTCTCCCCGAACCTCTCTGCCTGTAATCTGAGCTACTTGGAAGGCTGAGGCAAGAGAATCACTTGAACCCAGGAGACAGAGGTTGCAGTGAGCCGGAATCGTACCACTGAACTCCAGCCTGGGCGACAGAGAGAGACTCCGTTTAAAAAAAAAAAAAAACAGTGCGCATGTGCGAGCAGCAACCTCAGCACGGCCGAAAGCAGACGCTTTTCAGTAGCTGCAGCAACACGCCATCCGCACGTTCTCACTCACGGGACCCGGCAGAGCAAGAAATGAACAAGCCACACCTTTCAGTGTCCACAGGGTGAATCCCAAACGTGAAATGTGATGAAAGAAGCGAGTCCCAGAACATGCAGCACCTCAGAGACCACGGACGGGGTCCTGCCACCCATTCTGTGTCTCCCACCTCCAACGGGACAGCAGGGGCTTCCCCGCCTCTCGGGGGCCTCTGCAAAGTCTGCGCTCCCCAGGCCAGTGGGTGCCCTCCCCACAGGGCTGTGTGTTCCTGCAGGCTGGCCTGGCTTTCAGCCCTCAGGAGGTACTCAGTAAGCATTTGTTGAATGACTTAATGAGTACATGAAAAAGGGAGCAATGAGTGAAAGGCCTTTCACAATTAAGGTGTTTCAGCCACAGAGCAAGCTTCTTTTGAGATGGAGTCTCGCTCTGTCGCCCAGGCTGGAGTGCAGTGACCTCCTGGCTCACTGCAACCTCCGCCTCCTGGGTTCAAGGGATTCTCCTGCCTCAGCCTCCCGAGTAGCTGGGATTACAGGTGCTCGTCACCACTCCTGGCTAATTTTTGTATTTTTAGTAGAGATGGGGTTTCACCACGTTTGCCAGGCTGGTCTTGAACTCCTGACCTCGCCTCGACCTCCCAAAGGAACCCTCTGTGCTGCTTCCATCCAGGATTACAGGCATGAGCCACAAAGCACAGGCTTCTGATGGGGAGACTGAGGCAAGCAAGGCAGCCAAGATCTCAGCAGGCCTTGGTGAAGGCCCTGGGAGGTCTGAGGCCTGTGTGGGAGGGAGGCTCTGAGGATCCTCCTGGGGGTTCTCCCCGAACCTCTCTGCATCCAAATTTTTCCAGCACAGCCTGGGCCAGGCCATGTGAAAGACATCTGGAGCCCCCACCCCCGAGAGGGTCCCAGAGGTTGGGGGCTGCCCCACCCAGAGCCCCCTCCACCCCTTTTGCTTCTGCCAGCTTCTGTCTGACACTACCCCAGGTCCGCCTTCCAGGGTCCCTGAGTCCATGCCGGGAAGGGGTGTTCCCCCACCCTCACTCTGAGAGATCTCAACGTCTTCCTCTGTCCTGGCCCCTCTGGGCTCCCTGCCTCTCTCACTCCACAGGCAAAGCTGGGCACTCAGCCACGAGCCTGTCTCCCCAGGGCAGAGTCCAGGCCTCCCTCTCCCTCCCCATCCTCTCAGGCCTGGCAGGGCTCCTGCTCCCTGGCCTGGACTTTTTGTCCGTGAAAGACAGTCCAGAACACCAGGAAGCCCCGCTGGGCCTGGCAGAGCGTGGGGGCGCCAGGGGCACCGGCAGGCCAGTGGGGGGGGGCCACAGCCCCTGCCTCTGGGCGCCTTTGTTCCTCTCTGTTCAGGCATGATGTACTGTGCGTGCCTCTGTCTCCTCTGGGCTTTCAGGGTAGAAGAAAGGCCTGGGGTCAGCGTGGGAAAAGGGCCTGAGGCCTGGAGCTCAGCACCAGCCACACCCAGAGACTGTCTGCTGCGCCCCACCAGGCTGGGCTCTGAGGCTGGGAGGCAGTGAAGCTGCTTCCCAGGGCTCCCACCCCTCCCTTTGGGGTCCTGAGCTAGAAGAAAGACGCCTTTGCTGGGCCTGTGACGCCAGATCCTCACCCCCAGTGGCAATCCCAGCACAATTGTCGCCGCCTGTTCCAGAGGCGGGCATGGTCTGGACCCTGTCCCAGGAGGCTGCCCTGTGGGCCCCAGCAGCCCGCAGTCCCTGTTGGTCTGGCCTCGTAGCCCCTGACGCCGTGTGGCCGGAATTACTGGGACAGGAATTTCCACTTTGCAGCAGGCGCGAGGGGGGCACCCCTGGCCGGGCTGGGATGCAGGGCCTGTGGAGGCAGCGCCCCCCGAAAGGCCAGCCGTGTCCGGGGCGGAGGGGCAGGGCTCGGGTCTAGGGACCAGCTGCGCGTCACCTGCCCCAGCCTTACCCAGAAGCCTGTTGCCGTCCCGCACCCCAACCCTGCTGGCCTGGGGTCCCTCTTTCTTGTCTTCGGGCTGTGGAGAGGCCCCTCTGGCTCCCGTCCTGGGGAAGCCTCTGCGGCCTCAGGACAGCGGGCACTGGGAGGCACTGGGCCGGGAGGAAGGGACATCTGCCCGTCTGCGCTGCGTCCTTCTGCGTCCCGCTCGGTGTGAGCCGGGCCGTCCCTGCACTTCCCGCCGCCGCGTCCTCAGCGCGCGCCCAGGTGAGGCAGCTCTGACTCGGGCCTCCGGCGTGGGTCTCGCCTGGGTCGGCTGAGCGTCTCGGCGCTGGCTCAGGGGCTCCCGCAGGCCTACTCGGTCCTCACCGGCCGGGGGGTCGGGCTCGGGGCTTCGCCCCAAAGCAGGTGCCGGCCCCCCGCATCCTCCTGAGCCCCGGCCCGGGCCCGCCTGACTCCCGCGGCTGCCGGCGCCTCGTTCCCGCCAGCTAGTCCGGCCTCCCAGGCTAGGCCAGGAACACGCGCGGTTCTCAGCTCGGGACCCTCGGAACCAGCCGCCCGCCCACCGCACGCCGGGTCTCCGGCCTCCGGCCTCCACGGGGGAGCCCTTGCAGAGCGGGCGGGAAGGGGAAGGGGGGCCACGGACCCGGGAGGCGCCTCTCACCTGCGCCGGCCGGACCGCGGGGAGCCGGGCGCGGAGGCGGATCCGCCCGTGGGCGTGGCCGGAGCCTACCGCCGCCCCGCCCCCTCGCTCGCCCCGCCCCCTGGCCCCAGCCACCTCCGGCTTCGGCTCCCCGCGGTCTCCGGGTCCACGCGTCGTCGTCCCGCGCGCCCATGGCCGGGAAGATGCTGTCATTGCTGCCGCCGCTGCTGCTGGCCGCCGCGGGCCTCGCCGGGCTGCTGCTGCTGTGCGTCCCCACCCGCGACGTCCGGGAGCCGCCCGCCCTCAAGGTGCGCGCCCTGGCACCCAGCGCTCGTCCGGGGAGCAGCGGGCCGGGCCGGGCCGGGGAGCCGGGGGGCGGGGTGGGGGCGCGGCTGGGAGCCCGAGCAGGCTCAGCCCGAGACCCCCACCGCGCTGTACTCCTGGCGGGCCGGGTGGGATCCCCGGCTCCGCGCTCTGCTCTTCCCGGCCCGGGAACGCGGGACAGCGGTGGCGCTTCCACGGCGACGAGGTGCTGGAGGACCCAGTCCCGGGAATTCCGCGCCGGCCGCCGAGCCGTCAGTGCCGCCCAGGGGCTGTGTCCCTGCTCGCAGGATGCAGCGCCGGGATGCCCCCTGGGTGCTGCCGGACGCTGCCCTCGGCCCTCTGCGGGCCCCCAGGGGCACCCCGAGCCACTTCTACCCTGGGCCACCTCCCTGACGGTGCGGACTGTTCAGCCCAGGCGAGAATCAACAAGCCCGAGGGCCCAGGGCCCCCTCCGGACTCAAGGGCGGCCTTGACTGGAGCAGGCCTGGCAGGTCCGCAAAGGCTTGGAGCAGGCTAGCCCAGATTCCCCTCCAGCAGGTCCTCTTGTCGGCCACTTTAACCCTTTATTGGGCTTGTAGTGGGTAAGGTGGAGCCGAGCCCCCCAAATCCAAAGGGGAGTCAGAAGCTGAGAGCTCTGTGGCCCTCGGCCGGGTGGCAGTGGACCTGCTGGCCTATTGACGCTTGGCTCTGGAGAGGCTCTTGGTCTGGGTGGACTGGTGTGGACTACTGCAGCCCTCTCGAAGGCTGGAATTGGCAACCGGGCCTGGGAGGCTGGTCCCCAGCTTTCCAGGTGGATCCGGGACGCTGGAGCAGGAGCTGGAAAGGGGTGTCTCCGAGCTCACGCTGCCCAGGTCTGCAGGAAGGCCCACCCAGCGCCCCAGCAAGGCAGGACCACCTTATCTCTGGCCCTGGCTTGGACGCCTGGGGAGAGCGTGTCTTCAACAGGGATGGCTTTGCTCTGAGGCCCATAGCCAGCCTCAGTTTGGCCTTCTTCCCCTGGGGCCCTGCTTCTCCCATCCTCAGGTTGGGCTGGGGTCAGAGGAGAAGGAAAAAGAGAGGGGAGGAAGGAGAGGGGAGGAAGAGTGGCTCCAGGGGTTCCTCCTGCAGCGGCACTTCCTCCCCTTGAACCTGGGGACCTCCTTGTGCCCCTGGGGAAAAGTCCGTTGGGCCCCTTGTCCCTGGCTCAGTCCCTCAGTCTGCCCTTCCCAGGAGGGCTGTTGCCCTGAGCCTGGCATGCCAGCTGCAGGCAGTCAGGAGGGAAGAGTCACCTGCCGCCCTGTTCTCCTTCCAGCCGTGGCTGTCTTGGTCCCCTCTGAGCCTCAGCATGAGGCTTGGCACATGACTGGGGGGGAGTGGCAAGCTGGAGGCACCAAACAGTGAGGCCTTCAGAACCCCGGACACCCCAGGCCGACTCCCTCCCCTCCCCCAGTACGGCATCGTCCTGGATGCTGGCTCTTCACACACGTCCATGTTTGTCTACAAGTGGCCGGCAGACAAGGAGAATGACACGGGCATCGTGGGCCAGCACAGCTCCTGTGACGTTTCAGGTGAGGCCCGGCACGCCCCAGCCAGGACGCCCAGTCAGCACAGGGTCCCTGGGGCCCCTCTCCAGCCTTAGCCAGGGTCCCTGGGGCCCCCTCCAGCCTTAGCCCAGGCAGGTCCAAGCACTTAGTGCCTTCTGCTTAGTGCTGGGTGGGGCTCACTCCAGGCAGAAGCCCTAGAAACTGAGAGGCTGGGCGCTTTGCGCCTGGATCGGGTAGGAGTGGTTTGTATTCTGGAAAGGAAGCTGAGGCAGCAGGTGGGAGGTTTGGGCCTTGCCTGGCCCAATATTGGCCTCTGTGTCTCTGATGGAGCAGGTGGAGGTCTGGGGGCCTGGTGGGCACACCCAGGCAGGCCCCAGGAGGCCGCCCTGGGTCAACGATGCCCAAGGCTTTGTTGTAGCACCTGCACCCACACCCACTCAGCGGGCACAGCCTTGGTCTCTGGGTGGCACCTGGGCCCCTTTGTCTCCAAGCTGGGCGTTTCTGGGGGCTTAAGCCGGGAAGGTGTGCCACCTGGCCTAGAACCCAAGCTCTCCCACCCCCACCCTTACTCTCCTGGCTGGTGGCCCACCTAGGGGCTGCCTGTGAGGCATGGGCTCATCTCTCTGCCTCTCTCTAGGTGGGGGCATCTCCAGCTATGCAGACAACCCTCCTGGGGCCGGCCAGAGTCTGGTTGAATGCCTTGAACAGGCGCTTCGGGATGTGCCCAAAGAGAGACATGCGGGCACGCCCCTCTACCTGGGAGCCACAGCGGGCATGCGCCTGCTCAAGTGAGTGTGCCTGTCCCCTGGCCTGTCCCCTGACAGCCCTTCCCCTTGCGGAGCAGACCCCAAGCACCCCTGCCGCAGGCTCACAGTCACCTGGGGAGGAGGCCTCTTGGAGTTCTCTGTGTTTTACAGCCTGACCAACCCAGAGGCCTCGGCCAGTGTGCTCGCGGCGGTGACGCACACGCTGACCCAGTACCCCTTTGACTTCCGTGGTGCCCGCATCCTCTCTGGCCAGGATGAGGGCGTGTTCGGCTGGGTGACTGCCAACTACCTGCTGGAGAACTTCATCAAGGTGGGCCTGGCAGCCAGCCGAAGAGCCAGTGGGCATGGGCGCCTTTGGCACCTGGGTGACCCCACACTCCCCTCTTCACAGTACGGCTGGGTGGGCCGGTGGTTCCGGCCACGGAAGGGGACGCTGGGGGCCATGGACCTGGGGGGTGCCTCCACCCAGATCACCTTTGAGACGCCCGGTCCAGCGGAGGACAGAGCCAACGAGGTTCAGCTGCGTCTCTACGGCCAGAACTACCGAGTCTACACCCACAGCTTCCTCTGCTATGGTCGCGACCAGGTCCTCCAGAGGCTGCTGGCCAGCGCCTCTCCAGGTGCCCCTCCACCCTGGCTGCCCTGCACTGCACAGTACCCTCCTGCGGCAGAGCCTGGACAGCCGCCGAGCTGTGGAGGGCTTCTCCAGGCTGGGCTGTAACTGGCTGGAAAGTCAGCTGGGAGGACCAGAGCCTGAGCAAAGGCCCGGTGGCCGGGCTGCGTCTGGAGAAGGGAGGGCTGGGACGGCTCTCAGGGGGAGCCTGGGTGGTGGGCTGGGCTCTCTCAAGCAGGCAGTGGGCCATGGATTGCCCCGGGCACCCAAGTGAGGCTGCCAGACTCAGACCTGGGGGAGGTTCGTCGGGCTGGTCCTCCGGAGTGGCAGTGAGGGCCACCTGGTCATGCTGAGGATCCCCGCAGACCCACGGCTTCCACCCCTGCTGGCCGAGGGGCTTCTCCACCCAAGTGCTGCTCGGGGATGTGTACCAGTCGCCCTGTACTGCGGCTCAGCGGCCCCGGGCCTTCAACAGCAGTGCCAGGGTCAGCCTGTCAGGGAGCAGTGACCCCCACCTCTGCCGAGATCTGGTTTCTGGGCTCTTCAGCTTCTCCTCCTGCTCCTTCTCCCGATGCTCTTTCAATGGGGTCTTCCAGCCCCCGGTGGCTGGAAACTTTATCGTGAGTAGGGGCAGACAGGGGTGGCGGCAGGTGCCCTGAGCAGCCGGGTCCGGTCCCGGTGTGACTGTGCTGCCTTACAGGCGTTCTCTGCCTTCTTCTACACTGTGGACTTCCTGCGGACTTCGATGGGGCTGCCTGTGGCCACTCTGCAGCAGCTGGAGGCAGCCTCGGTGAATGTCTGCAACCAGACCTGGGCCCAGGTGAGCCCACTCCCCTCCTCCAGGGCCCTGGGGAAGGGCTCGGCCTCCACATGCCTCCCCAGCCCTGCGTGCAGAGGTGGAGGGCTGTGACCAGGAGGTTGTGAACCAGACAGTGGGCTGGAGAAACTTCCCCAGGCCCGACCCTCATCCCAGACCTGGAGGGCAGAGGGGAGGCCGCTCAGTACCCAGGTTTCTGGTTTCTGCCACTGGTCCCTCCATAGTGCCATGCAAGGGAAAACAGAAGTGGGGTTGGGGAGTGTGCCCAGTGGAGAAATGTGCCAGTCGTCCCAGGACTGGGGTGGTGAGCAAGGCCCTACACCGTCCTCCCAGGACCTAGTCTCAGACTAGGGTCGGGGAGGTGGGGAAGGGTGGTGAGCCAGCGGGCAGACTCAGGCCTCGGGTTCGTCCTGTTTCCCTGGCCACTCACCAAGGTGTTGCTGCCTCCTGCTCCCCGTCACTGGCCTTCCAGGCAGGGGCGTTGGCTGGGGAGGGATAGAAGGGTGCCCTGCGGGGTTGCCCACAGGGCTGCGTCTTGCCGCACGTGTCGGAGCCCAGGTGGTGGTCTCTAGCTGCGGAGGGTGGCAGTACGCCGGCCACTCTCCCCGTGGGGCCGAGACCTCCTGCTCGCCGCCTGCCTGATGGTGTCCCGCCCGCGCCCCAGCTGCAGGCTCGAGTGCCAGGGCAGCGGGCCCACCTGGCCGACTACTGCGCTGGGGCCACGTTTGTGCAGCAGCTGCTGAGTCGCGGCTACGGCTTCGACGAGCGCACCTTCAGCGGCGTGACCTTCCAGAAGAAGGTGGGCGGGGCGGGGCGGGCGGGGCGGGGCCAGTCGTGGGCGGGGCCTCGCGGGAGCTGAGGCCACGCCCTTCACCGCAGGCCGCGGACACCGCGGTGGGCTGGGCGCTGGGCTACATGCTGAACCTGACCAACCTGATCCCCGCCGACCCGCCGGGGCTGCGCAAGGGCACAGACTTCAGCTCGTGGGTCGTCCTCCTGCTGATCTTCACCTCCGCGCTCCTGGCTTCGCTTGTCCTGCTGCTGCGGCAGGTGCACTCCGCTAAGCTGTCGAGCGCCATTTAGCGGCCAGTGGGGACAGCTGCCCCATCTCTCTCCTGTATCCCCCCCGTACCCCCACCCCTCCAGCCCCTGTACCCCCACCCCCACCCCTGTACCCCACCTCTCCACCCACCCACACCCCTCCACTCACCCCTGTACCCCCACCTCTCCACCCACCTCTCCACCCACCCCTGTATCCTGCATCCTCCCCCCACCCCTCCCCTACCCTCCATCCCTTACCCTTCCCCTCTCCTCCACCCCCACCCCTCTATCCCCCCACCCCTCCTCCCACCCCTCTATCCCTCACGCCTCCCTCCGAGACTTATTCTCCATCCCTCCACCCCACTCACAGTATCTCTTCCCCTAGGGCAGCCTGGGAAATGGGAATCGAGACTCAGGTGCCCACACCTACAGGGGTCCAGGTGGGCAGAGAGCTCAATCCAGCTCCTCGGGCCGCTCCAGCCCGATTCAGCCTGGGTGTCACTCCAGGCTCCATGCTCCTCCTTCTCTTCTTCAGGGTTGGGTCTCCCAGGAGTAGGGCCTTGGTGCTGAGAATCAGGGGCCTCAGAAGTTCCTTCTGTGGAGTCTGGGTCTGTAGTGGGGAGGGTCACAGCCCACGGGCTGGCAGCCAGCCCAGCACCTACTTGTAAAATTTTCTAATAAAACGTTTTTCCAGCCGGGCGCGGTGGCTCAAGCTTGTAATCCCAGCACTTTGGGAGGCCGAGGCGGGTGGATCACGAGGTCGAGAGATCGAGACCATCCTGGTCAACATGGTGAAACCCCCTCTCTACTAAAAGTGCAAAAAATTAGCTGGGCATGGTGGCACGTGCCTGTAATCCCAGCTACTCAGGAGGCTGAGGCAGGAGAATTGCCTGAGCCCAGGAGGCGGAGGTTGCAGTGAGCCGAGATCGCGCCATTGCACTCCAGCCTGGGTAACAAGGGCGAAACTCCGTCTCAAAAAAAAAAAAAAAAGTTTTTCCCAGAGAAGTGAAAAGAGCATGTGTGTGGGGAGGGCGTCCTGCTGCTGCCTGTGCCCCGACTTCCCGCTGCACTGGTGCACAGGCCTGCCTCCGTCTTGAGGGTGGACACCAGCTTTCCCTCCTGTCTTCCGCTCTAGAGCCAGGCCTGGGCCAATGGCTGTTCCCCTGCTGTGCCATGGCAGCCTAGAGCAGCTGCAGGATGGCTGGCCCAAGGGGGTGTTCCTGGGCCCTTAAGGCTTCGCTGGCCAGCAGAATTCCCCAAAACCATCACATCCAGATCTGCGCTGGTGACCTAGCCCAGCCTGGAGGTTGCCTGGTCCAGCAGGCCTGGGGTGAAGCAACAGCTGGGGTGAAGGTAGGGACCAGGGGCAGTCAGTGCTGGTGGAGACTGGAGGGAGGGCAGGCCCTCATCAGGAGATGTCGTAGAGGGAGCTGAGATCAGGACCAGGAGGGACCCAGGGCCCCTCCCACAGAGGCAGGAGTCTTGCACAGAACCTGGCTGTGGAGCCATGAGATGGCACAGGGCACCTTGCCCTTCTCCCGTCGGACTGAGTGTCCTGCACTCCCAAGAAGCATCCTGCAGCCCCTCCCCAAGCCAGTTTTCTCCAGGACAGGAAGCCCTGGTCTTGCCCACTCGCCCCTCCCCTTTCTGGGAAGTGAGCTCAGACACTGCCTTTGTCTGCTCAGTGCTCTCGTGGTAGTTCTTATTCTGCTCCTCCCTCCCCCAACACCATTTTTTTTTTTTTTTTGAGTCATTTGATAAACCTGAGGGCAGCCAGCCCCAGCTTTGGAGTTCTGAGACTGGAAGGACCAAGGGGACACCCCAGGTTGGAGGGCTCACTCTTGTTCTCTGAATGACTGAGTCAAAGGAGTTTTCCAGTGGGATGGAGAGGGCGTGTTCTTGGGAGGCAACAGCTGAGGTGCAAGGGGGGCATCAGAGATGCCCGTTGTCAGCCGGGCACAGTGGCTCATGTCTGTAATCCCAGCACTTTGGGAGGCTGAAGTAGGTGGATCACCTGAGGCCAGGACTTCGAGACCAGCTGAGCCAATGTGGTGAAACCCTGTCTCTGCCAAAAATACAAAAATTAGTTGGGCGTGGTGGTGTGTGCCTGTAATCCCAGCTACTCGGGAGGCTGAGGCACAAGAATTACTTAAACCCGAGAGGCGGAGGTTGCAGTGGGCCAACATGGGACCACTGCACTCCAGCCTGGGCGAAGGGACGCCGTCTCAAAAAAATATACATATATATATATAATTTAAAAAAAGAGATGCCCGGTGTCCTGGGGAGCTTGAAAGGCTGTCACCTGGGGAGCAGGACCACCTTGGACAGCTCCCAGCTTCGGTCCTCGGTGGCTCCGGGTCACTCTTGCCCCCTAGGTGGCCTCGCCGAGCGCGGCCGCTGGGGCTCCAGCCAGAGCAGCAGTCGGGGCCGGGGCCGTTCTGCGTTCCTGCATTTGCTTTTCCCCGCGAGTGGGGGTGCTCCTGCCTCTGCAGGCACACCTGAGCCTCCCTGCGCGCCTGCTCAGCTCGTGCGCACCTGTCTGCGTGCGCCCGGCGCTCCCGTGGCCCTGTGTGCTCCCGATGCTGGGCCCCGGCAGGTCCTTTGCCAGTTGCGGGGGCGGGTGAGGGGCCGGGAGTCCCGCAAGAAATAAGCCAGAAGGGAGCGCCTCCCGGGAAGCCCACCTGCGACCCAAACCCAGCCGGACTTCTGGGAGCGGCACCGGCTGCCGAACCCGCAGGTGCCCAGACACCCCCGGGCCGAAAGAGGTCCGGAGAGGCCGGCAGCGGGGACCAGAACCCGGTGGGGGAGGGGGCGCAGCCCGGAGCCTCCCGCCCTCGCAGGTGCAGCGCGCAGGCGCAGTCCCCGCGCGCGCCCCGCCGGCGCCTCCATCCCGGATCCGCGCCGCAGCGTCAGCGCCGCCGCCCGCCGCTTTCCTCTTCCTCCTCCTCGGCCTCGGCCTCCGCCTCCTCCTCCTCCTCCGTCCGCCGCCCTCCCGCCTCCGCTGCTCCCGACGCGGAGCCCGGACCCCGCGCCGAGCCCCCGGCCCCGCGGTGCCATGCTGCCCCGGCGGCGGCGCTGAAGGATGGCGACGCCGCTGCCCCCGCCCTCCCCGCGGCACCTGCGGCTGCTGCGGCTGCTGCTCACTGGCCTCATCCTCGGCGCCGTCCTGCGCGGGGCCGCCGCCGGCCACCCGGGTGAGCGAGCGCGCTGGGTGCCAGCCGCGGGGCGCCCCGGGGCCGGTATATCCGGGCAGGGACCGCGCTGCGGGCGCCGCCGCCCTCGTCCCGCCCAGGCCCGCAGGCCCTGCAGGCCCGGTCGGCTGCTGACGGCGGCCCCGCCTAGCCCGGGTTGCGATTAACAGGCCCGACCGGAGGACGCGGCGCGGATGGGGCTTCTGCCGGTTCTCGGAGGCGAAGCTGAAGTTCGCGGCGTCTTCCGCCGGGAGCCGGTCTGGCTTAGGCCTCGGCGCCGCGGCCATCTGGCTCTGGGCGGGCCCACCGGGAGTCTGTCCTGCGTGGTCTGTGTGTGTGTCTCCGGGTTCGGGGCTCCTGTGGGTGCGGGGCTGGCCCTGAGTGCCCGCCGGCCTCGCTGCCCGTGTGCGTGCCGGGGTCGGGGCGTCCGTGCTGATCTGCCTGTCCTCATGCCTTAGCTGGCGCTGGACACCGGCCTGGTGCGCCATGGTGGGCGCTGGTGTTCCAGGGGCACTTGATGGCGTAGGCTCGGGGTGCTGTTCTAGCTTCAATGGGGGGAGGCTGTGGTTGCCTCAGAGCTTCCTCCTGCACCCCCTGCCCTTGAGGGCACTGACATTCTGCCTTTGGGTCTGAGGCCTGCAGGGGAGCTCCGGAGGAGGGTGATAAGCCCAGGGTCGTGGGACACCCTCCCTGGCTGCACAGATGGGCCCTGAGGCTCCCGGGAGCAGAGGTCTGCGGGAACCCAGGATGCAAAGCTCACCTTTTTCTGGGGTGGGGTGGGGTGGGGTGGGGCTGAACTGGGAGACTTTGTGACTGTGCATTCCTGCAATCCTCCTGGCAGCCCTGCAGAAGAGGTGCTGTGAGTCTGTTTTACAGTTAAGGAAACTGAGGCACGGAGAAGTTAGATGGAATGTGGCCCAGCTGATGCTACCCAGGGCAGTCTGCTTCTGTGTGTGTGGCCTCGCAGGGCCGGCTTCTTCCTGGGCACAGTGCCTCTGCATGGGAGGTGGGCATGACCAGAAGGGGCTTCCGGGAGTCAGAGCCTGCTCAGGCAGGAAAGGTGGAGGCCACCTTCTCAGGAACCAGGGCTGATAGCTGCTGTGCTGAGCCCAGGTGGGCAGCGGATGCCAGGCCTCAGTTCACCAGTCTCTGTGGCTTCGTGCCTGCCTCACTGGGAAACCTGGCAAGGCCCCCCTCAGGGAGCCCCTCCCACTCCCAGTGCCGGGTGCTTGGAAGGGAGAGGCCCTCGGGCAGCCTAGACGTTAGGTGAGGTGTCAGCCACTCTCCAGCTGCTGCTGTCCCTGGGACCTCGTCTCAGGAGGAGGAAGCGGTGGATGGAGGCTCCTGGGCTGGGGAATCAGGGGCTGGGAGGAGCCAGGAACCCAGACCCTAGAGCTGGCTTTGCACCTCAGGCCCCAGGCGTTGGCATGGCAGACTGTGCGTTATCAGCACAGGGACAGGGACCGCCTCGCTCCCCAGGTGCCGAGCGTGTGGGTGGGCCCCGGGTGGACCTGCTGGCACAGGCTCAATGTTTAACATGCCCAAGTCCTGGCACAGCCCTCTGATACTGAAGGCTGCTGCTCCAGGTCGTGGAGGGTGGGTGGTGCCTGTGGTGCCCACCTGCCACTGGGGCTGCTGAGGCTGCTGGAACTGCCCTGAAGGGAGGCTGACAGGCTGAAGGCACTGAGTGTCGGGTTACCAAGGAAACCCAGCCAGCCAGCCAAGGTCTGGAGAAGGACAGATGCCCCCTGTGGCGCCAGGCCCCGGGTCATCCTCCCTGCAGTGTGCAGTGTGGGGCTGGGTGGGGGAAGAGTGCTGGCTAGCCAGAGGGCCCACTGCAGGCTCCCCAGGCAGGGTTGATGGCCCTCCTGGGGTTCCCCTGGGTCCACTGGCTCACTGTGACTGGTGACATTCCTTACCTT